AATGATTATACAAAACAAACACTATTTTACAACTTTCCTCTTAACATCAGAGCCCAAATGCAATTTCAGGGCCACCAGCCCTGCTCTGGATTGTGATATTTCTCCAGAGTTGCAGATTCTCTTAATATTCATCAGCAGAGTTGCAACAGCTTGGTCACAGAGCCATCCTTGCCCTAGAGGTAGGATCGTTGCATGCAACTTTTCAGCTAGCATGCCAGCAGCCATCTCTGGTCTGGGAAGATTAGTGAAAATGTCATTGACGTTGATGCAGTCTTAGTAAGTTCCAGAGCAGAGCGATTCCCCCCTGGAATTTGGTTGCATCATTGTATCATTGGGGGATGCAAGTCAGATTAGCCTTATGTACACAAGGAACAAGTGAATGATTAAGTGATCAAGGTAGCATGCATGCTTCAATGTCTCTAAAAATTTCCTGTAATCAAATGTTGCATACTCAATGTCTCTTCTGTAACAGTCAGTCATGCTGCCTTGACATCTTCTTGTAATTATAATATTATTATTAATATTATTGATTATGAAAAGTAAAATATTATCAATGAAAATCTTGTAATTACCCAGCAAGATCTGCTCTGCGTTTGATTTCCAATTAAAATGTTTATAATAACCAAAAAAGACAATACAAATAAAAAAAAGTACTTCTGGTTAGCTATTAACACGTCTTCTTTAGGAGACCCAAACCAAACCAAACAACAGCACTCACATTTTGTCACCTTGGGCTCTGTCAAAAAATATATTGTTTTTCCAAGAAAAAAAAAATCAATTCGCATCTGTCCTACCAAAAAAAAAACCAATAGGATATATAATTAATGTGCGCGTCGATCAACCACAAACTTTATTTTACTTTTTTTTAAAAAAATGTCTGCAGTAGCAAATAAAAAGAAAAGAAAAAACAAAGAAACTGGTAAAGAACAGCATGAATAAGTGTTTTAAGGATGGTGGTGGTGGTGGTTATCACCCACCACCCGTTGTCACTCTAGTTAATATATAGGTTTGGAATTAATCATTATAACTATTTAATCATTTTAATTTAATAGTGTTGATATTTCCGACTTAATTAACCTTCATGCACTTTATAACATAATTAAAGATTCCGTTGAAGTTAATGCATCACCACTTCAACCAAATGAAATATATAATTTGTTGAAAGAGGTCTATGAAACTAATGAAGAGGAAAAGGAAAAGAATGATGATGATGTCAATAATCATCATCTAATGGTAACAGATGATAATAATAATTTGATAGTGGAACAAAATGATAATGATATAAATGAAGAAGAGGGTAATAATGACAGTGGTAATAATGATAATGGTGTGGAGGAGGAAGAATTGAGCTCATTGGAAGGGAGCATAATACATGTAGTCTCAGGTGCAAGATGGACCTGGACCAATGAAGAAGTTGCAATACTACTAAAATACGTTTTTAGCAGAAAAATATCATGCAATGACCTTCATTGCTCTGGTTTAAATAGAAGAACCAATGAAGGGATTTCAAAAAAATGGAGTAGGATGAAATTTGAAATCAAAAAACTATATGGAGTACAGAATTTATTTTAGAATGTAATATAAAAAAAAATCTTTTTAATTAAATGTTTATTTTTTTAAAATAAATTAGATAAATTGGATCAGGGTTGGCAAATTGACTGGTCCATTGAGAAAGATGGATTTTGGACTGGTCCATTGCAATTAATAAAATACTA